CAGTGATCATGTAGGGCGTCATGAAGCTTTCCATCCGCTGCTGAAGTGTCATGGTCCGCTGGATCGTCAATTATTGAGTGGAAGGTTTACACATAATACGGAAGTGATATACACCCTTGGCAAAGATAGCTGTATCAATCAATACCCTTTTGAAGGGGGCTGTGGGTATTAGTGGAACACTTTGAAGTGGTCATTGGCAGATCCCGGGCTGTTAATCCTAGTATTTAGTTACTCTGTCAGCTATATGGAAGTGGTCATTGGCAGAGAACGGGCTGTTCATCCTAGTATTTAGTTACTCTGTCAGCTGTATGGATGTGGTCATTGGCAGATCCCGGGCTGTTCATCCTAGTATTTAGTTACTCTGTCAGCTATATGGAAGTGGCCATAGCAGATCCCGGGCTGTTCATCCTAGTATTTAGTTACTCTATCTGTCAGCTGTATGGAAGTGGTCATTGGCAGATCCCGGGCTGTTCATCCTAGTATTTAGTTACTCTGTCAGCTGTATGGAAGTGGTCATTGGCAGATCCCGGGCTGTTCATCCTAGTATTTAGTTACTCTGTCAGTTGTATGGAAGTGGCCACTGGCAGATCCCGGGCTGTTCATCATAGTATTTAGTTACTCTGTCAGCTATATGGCATGGGTAGTTGAAGTCTGTCGAAGTCACACATGGTGTGTCTCCCTCTGGGGTTACCAAAGGGAGGAGATACCACAAACTTCGCTGACGTCAGAGGTTCATTTGATGAAGGGACAAGCAGTAGCCACAATAATCTTCAAAGAAATTGTTATCTACAAAGCTTCTCATGTTGTAACTGACGGCAGCCATTGATCACGACGCCCTAGACCCAGTGTGTCATAGTTCAATGAGGCATGGACACCCGACATCCATGCATGACACATCAGGTACATGACACACCCTAGACGGGGCGGTGGGGTAGCCTAGTGGTCAAAGGGTTCGCTCCCCACATGCGTACAGTGTGTGATGCCCATTTCTGGTGTTCCCCGCCGTGATGTTGCTGGAATATTGCTAAATGCTGCGTAAACCCCTACTCACTCACTCACACCCTAGACCCAGTGTGGCATAGATCAACACCTCAGGTATATCACACCCTAGATACAGGACGCCCGAAATCCACGCATGACACCTCAGGTAAATCACACCCTAGATACAGGACACCCGAAATCCACGCATGACACCTCAGGTACATCACACCCTAGATACAGGACGCCCGAGATCCACGCATGACACCTCAGGTACATCACACCCTAGATACAGGACACCCGAGATCCACGCATGACACATCAGGTACATCATGCCCTAGATACAGGACACCCGAGATCCACGCATGACACATCAGGTACATCACACCCTAGATACAGGACGCCCGAGATCCACGCATGACATCTCAGGTAAATCACACCCTAGATACAGGACGCCCGAAATCCACGCATGACACCTCAGGTACATCACACCCTAGATACAGGACACCCGAAATCCACGCATGACACCTCAGGTACATCACACCCTAGATACAGGACGCCCGAGATCCACGCATGACATCTCAGGTAAATCACACCCTAGATACAGGACGCCCGAAATCCACGCATGACACCTCAGGTAAATCACACCCTAGATACAGGACGCCCGAAAACCACGCATGACACCTCAGGTACATCACACCCTAGATACAGGACGCCCGAGATCCACGCATGACACCTAAAGGTACATCACACCCTAGATACAGGACACCCGAGATCCACGCATGACACATCAGGTACATCACACCCTAGATACAGGACACCCGAGATCCACGCATGACACATCAGGTACATCACGCCCTAGATACAGGACACCCGAGATCCACGCATGACACCTCAGGTACATCACACCCTAGATACAGGACGCCCGAGATCCACGCATGACACCTCAGGTAAATCACACCCTAGATACAGGACGCCCGAAATCCGCGCATGACACCTCAGGTACATCACACCCTAGATACAGGACGCCCGAGATCCACGCATGACACCTCAGGTAAATCACACCCTAGATACAGGACGCCCGAAATCCACGCATGACACCTCAGGTACATCACACCCTAGATACAGGACGCCCGAGATCCACGCATGACACCTCAGGTACATCACACCCTAGATACAGGACGCCCGAGATCCACGCATGACACCCCAGGTACATCACACCCTAAATACAAGACTGTGACGCCCGTCTGTCCAACAATGTCTGTGGCGCCAGTCTGTCCAACAACGTCTGTGACGCCCGTCTGTCCAAAAACGCTGTGACGCCCGTCTGTCAACAACATTGTGACGCCCGTCTGTCCAACAACGTCGGTGACGTCCGTCTCGCAAACAACACTGTGACGTGATCATTACAAAAAGGGAATTTGACAGACGATCCAAAGTTACCGCTTTTGTCTCAAAAGACCGCCAGAAACCCGGATCTTTAGTTCGAATCCCATTTTGTCCTGATTTTTATGTCTCAAGACTAGTCAGCTATATACGAGTGCTCAAGGGTTTCACCGAGGTGGTAAACTTCAGAGGACTGGTCCCCCGCCCCCAACTGTGCGGCGTTAAACACATGTCACTCACTCACTCACTCACTCACTCACTCACGTAGTTAGTTTCCTCATTGATGACAATTTTAATAAATTTGATTTTATTAAGCATGAATTTCATCAATAACTGAAATGATATTCAAGATAATTGTTAAATCAAACGGAGTCCTCACAATCGTATATGACCCCAGTCAGTCAGCTCATGCCCGTCCGCCAGGGTGACAACAAGCGTCCACGACTAAGGGCTCTCCACCCCACGTTGTAACACAATACTGTTCGGGACTCACTTGTATCACCACAGATGTGCACATCGCATGTTTGTCTAATTAAAAAAATGACCGCCATTCCATTTTGAATATTCATAAATGTGTAATTCAGTATGATTTATTGATGCGCTGCTCCTGTCGGCATTACCAAGCAGCTGCGTATTTGCACAAGACAAACCTTGCCAGCACGTGTACACAGAACCTGAATCACCAGGACGATTCTATTGACTTCTGGCTGGGCTCGTTTACCGGAATCTAAATCACAGTCCTTCTAAATATTAGATGGTAAAGAAATAGCAATGTTGTAAGTTGAAAAAACTCTAAATACCGTTGTCAATGTGATTTTAGGTCTGGCACATGTAGGAATAATGGGTGTTTGGTTTGGTTTGACTATCACTTGTCTTTGAGTCATAGGCAGTTAGGTCATTTCTGAACCGGAAGCTGACGAGAATGTTAGTGAGTAACTAGGTGCGTGAATGAGTGAGTGAGTGCGAGCGAGCGAGAACATACCAAGGACATGATCATCCCGAATCAGAATTTAAATGAACGATCATCGAATCGTGGCAGGTCTAGGGGAGGCAACTCTGTACGACATCCGAGGCTACAGGACAAACAGTGCCGTTGCGTGACTGAGTTATGAATATTGAATGAATAGCAATCTTTGAAACAATTATTCGGCAACATATCGTCTCCATATTATATCGGAACCAATACCCGGCGACAACACAGATTCCTACACTTGAGAGACAATTCAGTCATTTGTCCTTTCAACAATAGTCCCTTCCTATCCTTTACCAACAGTGGATCTTCAAGCTCATACCACTCAAACCTGTTTCAACCTACTGCGCGACCATCTATCACAGCATGATCAGCTGTAAAACGGACAACTAAATTGGCACTCAACTATGACAATGATGTGTACGTCCAAACATGGCGGTTGCCATGACAACTCACGTGCTTATTGAAATGTCAAGCAACACCTGACGAACAGACACCGTAAGACAATGGCGGTTGTTTACCGGTTAAAAAAGATGAGTGTTATTGTTCAAGAAATCATAACATGTAACCCACGTCTCCAGGGTTACCTTTAAGACTCTGTTTTGAGCTGGGGGTGTGCTCAAAGGTGTGTCACGTTCATGAATCCGTCTATGATGCAGCTATGCTAATTCCATCTGGAATGTACAGTGGTTTTTTTCATTTTCGATTGGGGGCTTTGGGTGGTGGTAGGGTGGGGGAGCTGGTGAATTTATCACATAAATTGACCTAGATAACTCTTGAAAAAATAATTTTGTTTCAGGTAGATTAAATTGTTGCATTCTTTTGAGTATTTGTGAAAAAGTAACATTTACTCTAATAGTTGTAATTAAGAAAATTTCGTTTTGAGGATGAAGGTGATAAATATTTGGTCTCAATACAATACCCCAGGCATGTCCTTAAGAGACCCTAATTCCTACTGGGCTGCTGTTGTTTGTGTGAATAAAATAGTGCACCTAAACAAGCTTCCTGTGTAGGGTACATTGATCATATGACGTCAAGGCCACGGGTTTAGCTGGCCTGAACTCCTATGAAGGACGATAAGGCTGATTATCAGCTTATTCAGAACAAACAAGACCACATGATGGCAGAGTGTGTCTGGGGTAGCTTTGTATTGGGCCAATATGGCGCACTTGCAGAACAGGCGCTATTGGATTTTGGCTGGGCGTTGTTTTGACCCGAATTGTGTACGTCAAGGTTTGGGACAAAGGTTTGCCAATTCAGCTGTATTGATATTGAACCATTTGTAGATGTTCGGCAAGATGTGTGTACCTGATGTTCAGATATGCTTTGTTTGTCGCTAATGATTTCTGCGATATTGATCACGGAAGTCGATGCGAAATATGTGTTGGTGCAGTATAGGAAGTGTCGGAGTATTTGAGTGAAGCGTATAAAACAAGGACTGGTCGGTACGGAGTCAGTGTACTGTCTCTCAGTTGGGAATCCATGTTAATCTCGCGGCCTGATATCTGAGGAGGATTGCTCTATAAAACCTGCATATGTCTGTACAAGTGTGCGCAGACACGAACGCACTCACGCACGTAGATTCGCTATATACGACCAGTATTACTGAATCCGGCGTGTAACCTCATTTCACCTAAACTAACCAGACTTTGCCTTACTGTTTCAGAGACCGTCCAGTCAAGTCTGTGCTGTCTACAGGGGTGTTTAGCTGCCTCAGCTGTGGGTTTCGCCTTCTTTGTAGGGCTCCCGTCGGGTATGTTGTCCTGTCGTAAAACTCTACCATGTTGCAGTTTTAGTGCTTATCGTAACTTCAAAATGTGGTTGATTTGAAACATAACGTTACTTTAATCGGCCAATACCGAATGCCCATTTCTGATGGTTGGATTAGACCATCATACCCTGCCAGGTGTTCATGCTGTCAGCCACTGTTTTGCCTGGTACAGACTTTGATGTTTAAAGGAGGTCATGAACTAGCTGGAATATTGCTGGTGCGGTCTGAAACAACATTTCAGGACTAATTCTTCTGTTCTCTGTCATTCAGGTATCCTCCTCGTGTTCTACGCCTCCAAGAACAATGACCCCACTCTGCTTGCGGTAGGGGGGGTCTTGGTGGCACTTCCGGTCTTGACCCTGATCATTTTCGTCATAATCTGTCTGTTTAAACACAGATTGAAGAGGGTAAACAAACGCAACAACTGTCCCGTCCACAAAGATCCAGGAGAAGATAACTCTAGATATTGAGGGCGTACTTCCGGTTACAGTTATATGGCTGAGAGGTGTTACTTCCCTTTAAACATTGTAAGATTTCGTCGCTGAAAGCTGCATAATTGTTCAAGCGACTGCAAGTAATACCCATTCCTTCGTACATATACGGAAATCCAATACAATCTATAGTATGAGGTGTTACCATGTCTTTCAAAGGAGGAACATCTATGCATACCAAGTCCAGTCCAAGTGTGCCACGGAACATTCCTTGTTTGGTTTGGTTGTGACAACATAATGCCACGAACCATATCTTTGAGACCCCGGCAGTCAGAAAGGTCTCTTAATTCACACTAGAAAATGCCTTAGTCTTTAGCCGGCTTTGACAATACGATTCCAATTATTGGTGCAATCTTTTTGTCAGTAACATGAAATAGCTGATTTAAAATGTTCTGTTCACCTCTTACCTGAACTAAATAGTGCCATAGTGTTACATTACACGATACTTAGAGGCAGTCATGGAGCTATAGCCAAAGGCTTGCAGATCTACAGTAACGTGACTGAAATACGTCACAGTGGAAGTTTCTGTAAGCTTGTGAACGTCTGAGTCAAACTAGGACAGCGAGGTTACAAAGAACTCGAATGATGTCTCGAAGTAAGCAGCGCCTCTGTGATTAATAGTTTCTTTGAGAGATCCATTTTGTACAATATTTATGTGGGGCATATGCTATGCATGTTTTCGTGGGTAGTTTTCGCATGTTGGTCATCGTCCGTGAAAAACACGTTTAGTAACGGACAACAATATGTGCCAAATACATATGTATTTTCTTATCTGTGAGGTCCTTAAAATATACTTCGATTGGGAGAGATAATTGTATATTTTGCCTCAGGTACGTCTAGCTTTGAAGGCTGTGGTCAAAGGGAGATAATTTAAAACAGCAAATGTGTTTTCAAAGATGAGAGTAAAGTCAAACTAAATTCTTTTTTCCTTCAAACGTTATTTAATCTGTGGAATATTTCAGTATTTCGCACGATGACGTGTGTGTAGCTGCAACGGAGCGTTGAAGTGGGAAATAGTCGAGGTTGTGTTATGCAAAGATAATAAGCAATAAATATATGCACAAATGGGAAGGACAAAGGTTGTTACGAACCATTGAGTTCATTGATCATGTGAAATCGGTTACGGTGTTGTTTGAAATCCAGTGAATGATATATTTAATTAAATGTCTATTGAAATGCACACCACCCTACCGTGATTGACCTCTACTGGCTCATGGAACAGACATTGTAATCCTGTACTTTCCGATAGCTGCTGAGATGTACAACCATTAACAGACAAAACTGGATCCCAGTCCGGACGTTGCCTGCTATGTACATTCTAGTGTGACATATCGTATCGCGACATCCTCAGGATATTCTGCTTCGAGACAAAAGCCCACTAGATGTCGGTAAATGGATCAGTGCTCTGTGTAATTAAGCGTCTTGGTAAACCCGACCAGGGAACGTGACTCTTTGAAAGCTAGTCAATGTTATCATGTATATTTTATTACACGGTGGTCTCGCGATAAAGGTTTCTTCTGCTTACTGTAAACACGATGCACTTGCCTTTATAAAAAAAATATGAAGTAGCAATATTGTAATTTCAATAATTGCTCAGTCCCGATGGTTCTCAAATGTGTACATAGTGCCGTTGTGCCTTGAGACTGGAAACAGGTCATTGTTTACAGGTGTGGAATTATTAATGAGGTATAATGGATATTGTGCCTTCATGTCAACGTAGAAATCCCGGCTTTGTTTTCCGACGGGACATGGCCATAACTGACTGGGGTTTCCCCAAAAAGCTATATATATAACTACACCAAGGTAATCTCCAATTGTGTACACTACTTGGTTTCGGACACACTATTAACATGACAAGGTAACTCCAATTGATTAAGGTGTAATTGAAATGACGTAATATTGTCTGGTGTTGGCTAACATCTCAATAACCTGTTCGTTAAGTTTCGGTGCTGTTAAAGATAAACCCTGTCGTAAATTGAAATAGTTTTAAACTTTTTAAGTTATCGGTTACAGAGTTTTTAATTCATTTGCCATCATGAAAAGTACATATTGTGATACCCCTTTAAACACCTGTAGGATTACAATGGTTGTGGAAATAAGCATGTAATATTTCATGTCCACATGTTATTGAACTCTAAGCAGTTACTGTCCTGTAGGTGAACGTATGCAAACATTTGTTGATGTTGCTAGTGTTTGATTCAGGCTCGTGTCTTTTTATGTATTTTAGGTTACTGCCGGTTTGTTTACATCCACTGCATAATGCCATATGCTTACTGTTATTTTCCTATTAACGTAGGCATAAATAGCAAATGAAGGTCAATTTGTTATTTTATTTTGTTTACATTGTTGAAAATGCAAATATTTTATTTATGAAGTCAGATTATGAAATATGTTATAATTATGCAAATAAAATTGATTCGTATAAAATGTGGTTTGTTTTTATTTGTGGAATCAGTTGATCCGAAACCAAGTAACAAGAACATGGTATTACTGATTTTAGAGCGATGAGTGAGTAAGTGAGTGAGTTTAGCTTTACGCCACTTTTAGCAATACTCCCGCAGTATCACGGGGGTTGGGGGTGGTGACACTACAGCGAGGAGAGTATAGACAATTGGTACTCTGAATACAGCATTCATTCATTCATTCATTCATTCATTAACTTCGACAACAAACATGATCCCCATATATCATAGGCAAGTCTAGTGATCGTCAGAAGAGCAGAATGGCAATTTAACCAGTTCGTCATATTTTGTGCATTTACTGAACATCAGCGGTCAACCGAGAATGCCATTTTCACCAAGGGGCGCTACTCCTACGACGCTATCGAAAATGTCTCCACCGCGGGTCATCAAAAGAAGCGCCCGTAATATAATGAATCAGCCCTTTCTACGCTTGTGCGGATGTATTTGAGATTTAAGTGATAGAAATAACACTTAACCACAGCTGAATCAACTGACTGCTTATACAGGTACTATACTGTCACCATGGTAACCGTCTTCACAAGGAAGTGGGATAGTCGGTTATACTCTCTTCTTCAAAACATTGAAAATAAAGCTGTAATATATCTACAGCCGAAATCATGGTTTCACACGTGAAGATCCGGGTTAGTATTGATCTTCAGACAGTCATGATGGTTCTAAGAAGCGACTAACGGGATCGGGTGGTCAGGTTCGCTAGTTTGGTAGACACATGTCATTGTATAACTAATTATTCGATTCGCTTGTTAACGTAAGCAACATACGGAAACAAATTAGCAAGAATGCTTGGTTCGTCACATAACGTTTGGATAATGACTTGGACGAAAAAATCCATTATATGAACATACAGATATAAATAGTTTGTGTTTATATCTGTCTGTTATAAGATTACCACTATCCGAGTTAAACTAGATGATCAATATCTCCGTCAGTGCGATCTTGTACTCTGACGTACGGAAATGAATCTGTTTACAATAACGGTTCGGTTGCAGTCAGATCTGTTATTTATCACATGCCTAAATATAGACGACATTTCCTTATTCACTATAACGTTTTTGTTCTGCAAGGAAATCAAAACACAACCGAGTATAGGCAAACTGACTGGCTGACACTGACACCGGCATCGTTATATTTACATGCATATATATAGTGATTGCAGACACGGTTGTTCGTTCCAATATCTGTCTCTCGTGAAGTCATAAAAAGATGAAGCAATAAGAATGGTCGGTGTTACCATGACAACAGTCTCCTCCTCTCCCGTGGTGTTGTGATGGATCTGAGATGATATATCATTATAACATGTTGATCAGGACAAAAACTGACATCATGGTTTATGGGAGGTGGAACTATTCCCGCTATCTAACGGTAAACGGAAGGTCTTTTACTACGTCCTCACTGGTACATCATCATCACCATCATCCTCGTCGCCGTCGTCGTCGTCGTTGTCATCGTCGTCACAATCATCGCCATCATAGTTGTCACCATCATCGTCGTCATCATCATCGTATTTGATATCATCATCACCTTTGCAATTGTTATTACCATCACCATCTTCATCATCATCCTCATCGTCGTCGTCATCATCGTATTTGATATCACCATCACCTTTGCAATTGGTATTACCATCACCATCTTCATCATCATCCTCATCGTCGTCGTCGTCAACATCATCATCATCATCATCATCACCAGCTCAATTCTTAGTATCATTCATCGCTGATCCGAATGGGTGTCCCTGAATCTTCTACACTGTGGAATGCGTACTGCTAAAAGCGTTTTATAACCGCACTCACTCACTCCTCGTATCTGAATGAGTACATGCATAGTGGAGTGAGTGAGTGAGTTAAGTTTTAAGCAATATTCTAGCTATATGGCTGCGGTCGGTAAATAATCGAGTCTGGACCAGACAGTCCAGTGATCAACAGCATGAGCATCGATCTACGCAATTGGGATACGATGCGAATCTGACCACCCGACCCCTTTAGTCGCCTCTTACGTCAAGCATGGGTTGATGAAGATCAATTCTAACCCGGATCTTCACGGGTAGCATATTTGGGTAGGTGGCAGGATAGACTATACATGTTTCCATGCCATTGCTATGTATGGTTACGGTGATTCGTGGTTTTCCTGGTTCTGATTTGTAGGTGAATATTTACCATTACATAGTTTAAGCTGGTAATAGTGTTGTCTGTGGCAACATGCTACACTTTCTCGAATGAAAACAAATATTTCAATCTCAGCAAATGTCATGATTTGTAGCTTGAAATAGAAAAAGAACTGAAACCTTTGTTCAGTCATTTCTACCAAGAAAAGATATTTCGAAATCATTCATGTTAAACATACGTAAAACATCTAGTGTTCGTGAGAATGATGATTATATAGTGTTCTGCTCTTAATCTGTATTAGTCCGCTCATGTACTCTTACTAAGCTCACCTGGCGAACCCCAACCGTCACGGAAGTGTATCATCACGACAAGACAGTGAACGTGTACACACAACTGTAGGTGTATTTATTCGCCCGGTTATCGGCAGGGCTATTTCCTTATTGTCTCTATACGGTGATAACGATCAGTTCTTTCCGTGAATATTGCTCCAAAATAGTCAGGAAATTAATGCAACATCGTGGTATTTTAATATCAGGACATTTCATAAATAACACGTTTCATATTTCTAAAATTAAACGTGTGCAGGATTGGGTAAGTTTAATAAGTTTAATTAGCCTAAGTGTGTAACTGTTTGACCATTGTATTGTTCTTGTGTAATTTTTATGAACTTACTTAATGATTAGAACAAAATAATTAATCGACACTTACATCAGTACTCTGTTTGTCTCGAACAACCAGATATACATTACATGTTACCTAAGTACAACTGTACTTGGAAGGCCCAGGGGGTCTTGTTTTCAGCAAACAAACTCATATTTCAAACACGTACGTTATTGCTATTTCAATCCCTACAATATTATAAGTATTAATGACATTATGAATGACAATTCAGGGCCTAGCACAGATTCTTCAATGCCCTGGAGAACCAATCTATATTGATATCAATCAAAATATTTCATATTCCTCATGTTCCTCAAAATAGTACGCTGGTAATTATTAAATCGGAATTGTTTTCTTCCGCTTCGTTACATCTGCTCATTATCGGAGGCACTGCGTTGTTCGACCCGTGTCGCGTCTAGTGCGGGTGTATATAGAAACTGTAATTACAGTGAAACACTTTCATATATGGATACGATGAATGCAATTTTAGAAACAGTAATTGTATACGAACCGCAAAGGTGAATTGCATGAACGTAAAGAGGGCGATATATTAACATAGTTTATGCCTATGTTATTTTTTGTCGATTTTTGGATTATTTTAGAAACCGCATTGATTTCTGTATGCATCAATATATGTTTGTTTTTAAAAGTATTTTATCATAGTCAACATTGGGTCAGTTGAAATAATGTCATCAAGTTAATTGGAAAGTATTTGACATTGTTGAGTTTCATACTGTATTTGTATTAATTATAATAATAATTAATTAGTTGGTTAAACTGATCCCAACCTTGTAAAAAAGATCTATTTCCATTTTTTGTTCTTTACTTGTAGACCTGTGAAGATCCGGAGTAGAATAGGTCTTCAACAACCATGCTTGCCACAAAAGGCAACTATACTTGTGGTCGGGTGGTCAGGCTCGCTGACTTGGTTGACACATGTCATCGGTTCCCAATTGCGCAGATCGATGGTCATGATGTTGATCACTGGATTGTCTGATCCAGACTCGAGTATTTACAAACTGCCGCCATGTAGCTGGACTATTGGTGAGTGCGGTCTGTAAATAATCGAGTCTGGATCAGACAATCCAGTGATCAACATCATGAGCATCGAAGTACGCAATTGAGATACGATGACATGTGTCAACCAAGTCAGCGAGCTGACCACCCGATCCCGTTAGTCGCCTCTTACGATAAGCATGGGTTGCTGAAGACGAACTCTAACCCGGACAAGCTTAAACCTTTTTGCAAACACCCAGTGTTATTACTGATATTCAAAGGTCCGGACATAAAATTTTATGAGTTGTTTTGTCCTATGTCAAATAGAACCTATGTCCAAGGATAGTTAAAATTGGGTATTCTCTTTCACTGACGTTTTAGAATCATTGAACTGAGTCTCTGTCCTGTCGAAAAAGCCTAACACTTAGTCTCTGACAAAGACAAACTCTGAGAGAAGCAAAGACAAACTCTGAGAGAAGTAAAGACAAACGCTGAGAGAAGTAAAGACAAACTCTGAGACAAGCAAAGACAAACTCTGAGAGATGCAAAGACAAACTCTGAGAGAAGCAAAGAGCTCTATTTAAATTGAAAAGGAGCCCCAGTGAGAAGGGTTATTCAGAACCTGGGAAATCTAGACTTGATTAATTGAGAGCGTTTGCATTACAGTCTGCTCTGGGTCGAAGGGGAGATAATATGGTTCTGGGACCGTCAGGCAGACAACTGTTCCCAATACATTTCCCTCTCCGTCTGGAGTCAGGAAAACAAGCCGCCACGTGGAGTCTTGATGGCGAGACAAATAATTCAGTCACATCAGTAAATGTGTGTCGTTATTAAACTGAAACACAAGATTTAACTATAAATAACTGCTCGGTGCTCGTTCTAAATGAGTATTGTCACATTGATTTGGTGTCGTGTTTACAGACGCTGTATGACGTAGTGCACAGTAAGTGGTATACCCCTCATGACTACAGTCAGGTGGCGGTGGACAAATCTGCTCAGTACCGAAAGTTGTTATAAATACAAATTTTATTTTACATGTTGGACATGTTCACAACTGTGAGCACAATAGCACCTTGTCTTCTTCAGTCTGCTAGCTGGTAGAGAGCTTTCTTAGACCACTCCATTTATCACTTAAAGTTGTCGTGTTGCTAGGCAACCAGGTATCGCCCTACGGCAACAGAAAATTGAC